AACAACAACTTTACCAAGCGTAGTGGTTACGAATCGGGCTGCCAAACTCAAGGTCAGCAGTTCGACACTACCAACGGTTCTGCGGAAGAAAGATGAGGCATTCTGCTCCCGTAAAGATTTATAGCCTAGGAAACCCTGTGCAGGGTCACTATGAGTTGGAACTGACTCCACGGTATTTAATAACAACAACTTTACTAAACATGATATCCTTCTCCAGGAACTCGTGCTTCCTGATAATATGTCCGAAGTATGAGAGCCGATTTCTGGCTTCCAAGGAGCATTCTGGCTGCACTTCTTACAACAGAGATTTGTTTGTTTTTCTGGCAGTCCATGATATCATTACTATTCTTCTCTAACACCATAACTCAAATGCACCAATTCTTCCATGGCCTTCCTTGTTCATTGTCCAACTTTCACAGTTATAAGTGGCTACTGAAAACACCATGGCTTGCTCTTGAACACTTTAAGAGGTCTTGTGCAGCAGATTGGCCTTATACACTATGTCCTGTGATTTCTTAACTGCTGCTTCTGTGGGAGTTGGTGGTGGATCCAAGCAAAAGGAAAGTTAAAAGACAGTTTCCCTCTTTTCTCCATTTATCATGATGTGATTACTCCATTGATGAGGATTTTTGTTTTCTTTACATTGAGGTACAACCCGTACCAAAGGCGGTGGTCTTTGATCTTCGTATTTTAAGTCATCTTCACTTTCAGCAAGCATGGTTGTATAATCAGCATATTCAGGTTGTTAATGAGCCTTTCACCAATCCTGATGCCACATTCTTCATATAATCTAGTTTCATAGGGATATTTGTTCAGTTTACAGACTGAATCAGTGTGGTGAAAGAATACAACCCTGGCACACCACTTTCTTGATTTTAAACTAGTCAGTATTCCCTTGTTCTAGTCAAATGACTGCCTCTTGGTCTATGTACAGGTTCCTCATAAGCACAATTAAGTGTTCCAGAATACTCATTCTCTACAATGCTGATTATAATTTATCATGATCAGCACAGTCGGAAGCTTTTACATAATCAACAAAGCACAGATAAACATCTATCTGCTACCCTCTGCTTTCAGCCAAGATCCATTTGATATCAGCAATGATATCTCTTATTCCATGTCCTCATCTAAATCTGGTTTGAACCTCTGGAAGTTCCCTGTCAATGTCCTGTTGCAACCATTTTTGAATTATCTGTACCAAAATTTTACTTGCGTGTGATATTGATATAAATGTCCGATAATTTTCTCGTTCCGTTGGGTCACCTCTCTTTGCCATGGGCACAAATATGGATCTCTTCCAGTTAGTCGGCCAGGTAGCTGTCTTCCAAATTTCTTGGCAGAGATGAGTGAGTGCTGCCTGTGCTGCATCAGTTGGTTGAAAGGTTTAAATTTGTCTTCCATCAATTCCCGGCGCCTTGTTCTTTGCCAATGCCTTCAATGCACCTTGGACTTCTTTCTTTGGTACCATTGGCTCTTGATCACATGCTACCTCTTGAAATGACTGAACATTGACCATGTCTTTTTGGTACAGGGACTCTGTGTATTCCGTCTACTGTCTTTTGATGCTTTCTCCATCATTCAATATTTTACCCATTTGTTGTTGTTGTTAAATGCTGTCAAGTTGGTTCCAACCCATAGTGACCCTGTATATAGGGTTTCCAAGGAGTGGCTGGTGAGCTTGAACCCCTGACTTTGCAGTTCGAACAACTTTGCAGTCCAGCACATTAACCCATAGCGCCACACCAGAACTCTTCAATATTGCAAGTTGAGACTTGAATTTTTTCCTCAGTTCTTTTAGCTTGAGAATTGCTAAGCATGTTTTTCCTTTTGGGTTTTCTAACTCCAGATCTTTGCACGTTTCATTATAATATTTGGCTTTGTCTTCTTGAGTGGTTCTTTGAAATTTTCTGTTGAGTTCTTTTACTTCCTCATTTCTTCCATATGCTTTAGAATCTCTATGCTGCAGAGCGACTTTCAGAGTCTCTTCATATCCATTTTGTTTTTTTCTTTTTTCCTTGCCTTCTTAATGACCTTTTGCTTTCTTTCTATATGATGTTCTTGATGTTATCCCACAACTCTTCTGGCTTTTGGTCATTAGTGTGTAATGCATCCAATCTGTTCCTGAGATGAGCTCTAAATTCAAGTTGAATATGTTTAAGGTCATATTTTGGCTGCGTAGTTGGTTCCAGCTTATTACCACCCTGTATAGGGCAGCCTCGGAAACCCTGTATGGGTCACTATGAGTTGAAACCGACTCCATGGCACATAACAACAAAACAACATAGGGTTTCTGAGAAGCGGCTGGTGGATTTGAACCGCTGACCTTGTGGTTAGCAATCTGTTCCTTATCCTACAGCACCACACCAGGATGTCAGATAGCCTCACGGTGGTGGTAGTGGCTATGTGCTGTAGAGTTGGTTTTGACTCATAATGACCCTGTATAGGCTTTCTGAGGCTGTAAATCTTTATGGGAGCAGAAAGTCTCATCTTTCTCCCACGGAGTAGCTGGTAGATTTGAACTGCTGACCGTGTGGTTAGCAGCCCAGCTCCATATCCACTACGCTACGTGGACTCCTTAGATAGCGTCATTGTGGTGAAGTGCCATCGTAGATTCTTTGAAATTTAGTTGGTAGAACTTCAATCCAAGACTGGACTAGTGAATGCAGTCAGAACCCTGAATGGTTTTTAAAAGGCTCTGCATGCCCACACCTCTGTGGGACCAACTGCTGCGGACAACTGCTGGGTGTATCTGTCAGGAAAGAAAGTGCATCAGTTAGTCAAGACTGTCTGCCCAGGACCCTCAGCTTGCTGAGACAACCAAGTGTCCCCTGTCAGGCAGGTCTCTTTTCAACCTTGGGAGAGTTTAGAATGAAATATAGTCAGACTTTAGTTCAATATGGTCGACTGTTGACCTCTTCTTCCTTCTGAAACCCCTCTAAGAGGATAGGAAGTATTTTGAAGGCCAAAGCCCATGAGGGTAGAGGCGGGGATACTGAGACCGTGGAACGGGAAAGAGGGGAGCAGTAGTAGCTCCCACAACCCACTGGGGCATGAGTTCAGCATCCCTGAGGTGTGCATGAAAACCCACTAGAAACAGAAGTGTGCAGTCCAGGCTCTGTTGCTACTAGCTGAGGCTGGCAGGGACAACCCTCTCCCAGTAGTGGTTAGGAAGTAAGACTTCTAGGGGCAGAGCTCTGTTCCAAGAGTGGGGAATGACAAATGGGACTCCTCCTGCCTCCCCACCTCCATCCAGGCTCCACTCAGACTCCTTGGAGCAGCTCACCATTTGAAAAGAAGAGAATAACACGTTTGCTCTTTTTACAAATGCAAAAAAGGGAGTCCTGGTGCGGTACTGTGGGATAGCCAGCAGAATAACCCTGCCAGATCTCTGGCCTCAAAGCAGCCCGGCCCAGCCACGAAGAGTGCCTCACTCTCAAATGCAACCAGACAGTCCCACAGACACCTGAGGAAAGAGGGGAAAGCCACAAAGGAAAAGTAGAACGAACGACTAGAAGGAAAAGACAATAAAGAAACAAGAGAACACAGCTGTCTTCAGACACACTAGAGAAGACGGTGCATCCAAACATAGGAACAGGAGGCAAGGAAAAAGGAGCAGTCCGCAAATGAGGAAGATGAACAATTCATTGGAAAGTTGAAATCTTCCAAATTGACCAAAGCAGAGAGCCAGGAAGCAGGATATGCAGTCGGAATCACATGCAGCCATGTTGGCACAATGGGGATTCAAACCCACAAAGACCTGGCACTCTCCCTTCTTCTAAAGATCACAGCCTACAAACCCTTCTGAAGCAGTTCTGCTCTGCCACAATGGGCAGTTCAATGGTACTGGACAACAACCCCAGTGGTGGTAGTAATGCCAAGCCTGATGCTTGAGCAGCCTCCATGATCAGCTTGGGAGGACTGGGCTCCACATCACCACCAGGGGGAGCCACAAGCACCGCCCTCTGATAACAGCTTCCTAGGAGAAGGTGACGTTAGTGTTGAGTCCTCTGAATCCACCTTACT